TGTTGTAATTGGAGCCCTAGGATTGGTTGGAAAAAAATTGCAGTAGAGTAATTGAATGGATTCCTGGAAGTCCATACCTCAAACAGCCCACACTTTACGAAGGGCTTTATCTATGTAATTTTTTTTTGTCAGTGGAAAGTGTAATGATGCCATTTCAACCTTAGGTCCCCGGGCGGGACCCGGAGAGAAATGTGTAAAAGACAGAAATCAAAGGAAATAAAAATATTAATAATAAATGATAAATCCGATGATATGCTTGGTAAATAGATCTGCGTGGCTGTATATTGGGGGAAATCCCAAATAAAATAAAAGAATCGTCGAGTTTATTAAAGTGAGTTCAATATGCGGTCAGTTAGTCTGTTTTGTAGAAAGCACAATCGTTCGGTATACAAATATTTTATTTTTAAAGATATGTCAGTTTCGTTCTAAATAACATTACGGTGTTTTCTGGAAGCATCAGTAGTTTTTAGATAACAAAAATCTCGTCATCCAGAGATGCACTTGAGTTGAGTTTGGTCCTTAAGTATGAGGAAGATTTCACATCGTTCAGGTTGCATTTGTCAATAGCAATAGAAGATGACAGGGAGTTTATGATTATGATGTTTGGCGTTTTTGATTTGTTTGGGAGTTGGTTTGGGTTGCTGAATCAATTCGTTATTTTTATTTTTTTTTGCCGAAGGCGTTAATAGCCATGGAAAAAAAAGATCGATAAGTTCTTGTGATTCCACGATAGATATCATGACAAGTGCAACATCATTAGTGAAGAGGTTGTCACAAATCATGCTAGGTTTGTTGAGAGTTTTCGCAGTGAAGTGTCGATCGTGGAAAAAGAGCACCAGCTGCACGAAATTGGAACTTAACCTTGTTTCCGAAGATCGCTGTAATTATAGTAAAAGATGATGGAAAACTAGAGAGCAAAATGGACAGAGGATCAATGACACAACTTTGTTTGCTGCCATTGGTTACGTCAACTGTGTCTGAAGATTATCCATCAGACATGATCGATGATTTCATTGCTTCATGGAATGCGATGATAATGTTTAGCATGTTGTCTGGGATACCAAAAGTTTTTAAGGATTTTCCATAAAGCACTTCTACTGAAAATGTCGATACACACACACACACACACACTATATATATATATATATATATATATAAATATATTGATAATCAATATATATATATATATATAGATAGATAGATAGACACACACACACAAGTGGATAGACATAATTGCAAAATATATAGATATATATACATAGGTGACCATATAAATATGGGTTGGTACCGGGAAGATGGAGGGAATAAAGTAAGAAGAGATCCAATCGAGAGATCCTCTGAGAGACTGCGATTAAGTCAACCCATTCTACAGGAACAGTCTTCCCAAGAATATACCAAAACTAACTGTAAATATTGTGCACCTTTTTCCTTGTTTCAATACATTTTGTTTACGTACATTTTGTGTTGTATTATTATTATTATTCCATGCTTATTCAAGCTTCAACAGTATATTTTTTTGAATAAAAATTCCGAGAGGATAGAATCCAGGTAGAACTCAATGTCCAGGACAGAGTAACGATATAATAAAAAGGCTTAAACACTAATATTCCATATATATATATATATATATATATATATATATATATATATATATATATATATAGCTCTAGAGAGGGGTAACAGACGAGAGAATAACAGGAAGGTGGGGGATTATAATCTCTAGAGTTTTCATTTACTCACATTCGTCCCCCACTCTCATATATACACTCTCACTAAATTTTATTTTTTATTCCCGGAGTTATTTTTGGATTTGTAGGTTTGATGAATTGGATCGTAATTATGATTCTAATGTAATAAATTATGACCATGGAATATTAGTGGTTAAGCCTTTTTATTATATTCTTATTCTGTCCTGGACATTGATTTCTACCTGGGTTTATATATAAATATATATACATACATATACATACATATATATATATATATATATATATATATATATATATATATATATGTATATATATATATGTATATGTTATATATTTATATATATATATATATGTGTGTGTGTGTATTAATTAACCATTACTATATATATATATATATATATATATATATATATATATATATATATATATATATATATGATGTCAAGTAACATTAGTAATTATTCAGACTAGGCTCTTCATAATGTAAATTGTCAATAAAGAACTTTAGAAAATAAGAAATTACTTTAAAATATCTTGAAAATAAATTTAGAAAATATTCTGATAATTAGAGAGGGTAGAAAAATTTTACAAAATTTTCACACGATTCCTTATATAAGGGAAAAAAGCTTAATCACAAAGAATATATTTATTTTTATTTTCTGCGCTAATTATTTTTGTTCTAAGAATTTTTGTTCCTTAACGCCGTTGAAGTTGGTTAACTACTGGTATTGGTAAATCATTTTTAATTATTTTCGAAGTTTCTTCATGAGAGAGTTTAGAAAAATTCTTTAGATACTGTTTATATTTTCAAAAGGTTAAGTTTTGAAATAAACTAGAAATTAAGTAAAACATTGGCAAACAATATACGCACTCACACTATACTTAAAGCGTGACGACACATAGCTCTCTGCTTCTTTATCAAACGTGGCTTCAACCAGAATCCACGACACATGAACTCCTTAATGTATATTATATATATATTAAACCTGAAAACACGGTGTAATTATGCCTGGATAAGATAAAAATAACAAAATTATATAGTATATTTTGTATTTAGTGTATAAAGTTACAAATCTAAAATTAAGTGGAAATCTTTTACGTTTTATAGTTAACAAGCCAAATACCCGTTCTCTGACCAGAGAGAAGAAAGAAGTTCTCTTGACTCTTAACATTTTCACCAAGGCAACTATTTTCTAGATGTCCTTTCGTCATGATGCAATTTTCTGCTCTGAAGATGGAACTGATCATGACAGAAACGTTCATTTTTGTTTGATTGTTTTTTTTGTTGTAGATACTAACATTTAAAAGGGTTTTTGGCTTTGAGCTTCGTGAATTTAAGGATCAAAGGATACGCCGAATAGGAGTGCATGGTCCCTCGGGGACATGAATATTCTTGGTGTAGATAAACCTTTCCCTTTATGGCTTTCAGAAGCAATAACAACATAAACAACTGTACTTTTTGAATTTCTGAGGTGAGGAGTTATCATTATTTACACTATTTGCAATCGGACTATAGTCCTCATCTTTGTTGTTGTTATCACAATGTTTCGGCCGTTGTGCTCTCCGGCTTTCATCAGATGTATATCGATCCGAGTAACCTACAGAGGATTTCGAACTGAACCCTTTATTTCATCTAAGGTGATATACTGTTCTGGTTCCACTGACCATGTATAGGAATATCTTGTCTGGTTCATATTTTTAGTACTTCTCAGTTATTGCTCATCCTGTTTCCATTGAATCCAAAAGATTAAACACACAGTTACTATTTCACCAAATCTACCAACCAATGCTTTAACCCACTAGGCTATTGTCTTGTAGGACAATTATCTGTGAATAACTTGTAGCCTTAAACCTAACCAGCCTGCTGATGAATGTTTCTGCTGCTTGTCATGATTGACTACAGTAACTAAAACTTCTAAGGAGATCTCCAGCCTAGCAAACACATTGATTTTTTTCAGACGTCTAACTCTCCAATGTTCTTCCTTGTCCAATATTTTCACTTCATTCTACAGGGGCTGATGAATTCCCTGTAGGTCATCAATATATACCTGAAGAAGGCGGAGAGCACAACGACTGAAACGTTGTGATATCAACAACAAATATGAGGACAATTGTCCGAATGTAAATAGTGTAAATAAATAACTGTAAAGTGAAGATATTTAATAATATATCTTATCTTATTTCAATGCCATTAGCTGCGTCAAATTTCGTATGAGAACAACCTTCTTTGAGACGTAAATAAATAATAGTTTATTACTCATAATAATCAAAAAATAATTCAACAGATTATTTTCACTTATTTAAATAATTTATCTTCAATATAATACCAATACGTTATTAATTTTATCTACGTCTTTTTTCAATTTAACCCTGTATTGTAGGGACCTACCTATAAATGGACTCTTCCACACCTATATAATATGGCTACCAACTCTGAGTAAAGCGGAGTCACCAAGTGAGTCAGTCGTTTGAGTCTCTACCGGTTGAACTCTCTGCCTTCGGGCTGGAAGGAACCCGAACGAGGCTACGCCGAAGGGCGGATTCTCTTTCGGGGAGGTAAACCGACCCTGAACCCGTTTATACGGGTTCAATGGGCATATTTTCGGAGATCCCACGTTAAACCGGCCTTGTGCCACATGACGTCCTCGTGGGGGGGGTGACTGAATATCGTCACCAAGTGAGGGTCACCTATTAGTATACATCGAGTGAGTGAGTGAGTGAGGACACCAGAGAGAGAAAGTACTCTCCAGTCCACATTTACCTTTGTACTACGTTTCCAAGAATATGCTATTTAACCCTATATCCGATTCCGTGTTATCTTTCTATGGTTCTACACCATAACACCCTGTTAAAATGAAATTAACATACGGTTTATTTACTAATATTTAGAAGACAATACATTATTTTACGCTCTTTTAAGAATATAAACACTGATATTTTTTTCTGCTAACTTACAACTGGATTTTGACAATACGCTTTTAAAAATTGTCACCGTTTATGTTTTAAACGCTGTCTTTTTAGCAATATATATAAAGAGTTAAGAACAAATTCACGAGATGAGGACACAGATAAAAGTTGTATTTATAAGAGATAAGTCGGCTTTAGTCAGAGAATGTACTGCTGACGTTGCTTAAGCTTGATAGCATAGTCATGAAAAATATATATAGATACAAATCAAGACAGACCTATGAATTGACAGAGATAGATATAATTTTAAGTAAATAGTCCAATCGGAACACAATGACAAAGATAAGCAGATTCATTTCGTGGCATTTTTCTATCTCTTTGCAGACGTACACTGAAAGCAACATTTGTACTAGTGCCATTGTTTGGCCTCCAGTTATTGCTCATCATTTACCGACCACCAACTCATTCACCTTACGCCTTTGCCTATGAAATCATTTCTAAAATCATTATCAACTCACAGGTAAGAGGAAAAAAACAATTCTTATGTGTTATGTTTTATAACATTTTTTGATAATGTTTTCTGAAATCCAAGATTTTCTTTTTTTTGTTTATTTTTTTTTAATTTCGTTCTGTTGTATTTCGTCTTTCTCTTTTTTCTTTCTCTTTTCATTTGCATACTGTCTTTGTCATTTCCTTTTCTTCTTTTTATTTCTTCTTTTGCTCACAACTCTTCCTTTCCCCTTTATTCTTGTTTTCGGTTCTATGACGTCATTCTCCCTTTTTTCTCTTTCGTTATTTTAATTTTTTTTTTCTAAGCTATACTTTTACATTTCTTTTTTTTTTCTTTCTCCGTTTTCTCGTTTTCTTTATACTTTTTCTTCATTTAATTCCCTTCTTTACATTTGTATGTGATTCCTTTTTATTTATTCTTTTCTTTTTCTTCTTGTCTTACCTGTCTCTTTCTTTTCTACCTTCTATCAGACATAAACATCAAAGAGCAAATACACAACCAAAAATCTATCCTGACACCTCATCAAACACATTGCACCTGTTCACAAATCAATAAATATATAACAATAAAAAAAATCTCCACGAATCCAACGACAATATGTGCACATATTATACGTATACTATATAATATAAACTGTAAAAAATCCCAATGTTATACATTCTACTTAAAATATCAAAAACATAAAACTAATCAAAATGTTCTTCGATGTCGAAACAATCGAATCAATCGTTGGTCGCCTCTGCGTGACGTCACTATAACGAATGACGGTCAACCCCTAATTAGTAAGGAATTTGATTCGGTTAAAGATGGACACATCCACATAATCCTGGATCTTGAAAACGATCAGAACTATGGTTGAAAATGGTTGATCATAAGCGACTAGGAAATGTCTACTATTTACATTATTCGGACTATTGTCCTAATCTTTGTCGCCATATTTATTACAACGTGTCAGCCCTTTAGTATCTGTCTATAATTCTGAGATGAGGTTTTATGTACACTGTTTACATTATTCGGATTATTGTCCTCATCGTTTTGGCCATATTTATTGCAAAGTTTCAGGCCTTTAGTATCTTTCTATATTTCTGAGATGAGGTAATATGTACACTATTTACATTATTCGGACTATAGTTCTCATCTTTGTCACCATATTTATTACAAAGTTTCGGCCCTTCAGTATCTGTCTATATTTCTGAGATGAGGTATTATGTACACTATTTACATGATTCGGACTATTGTCCTCATCTTTGTCGGCATATTTATCAGAACGTTTCAGCCCTTCAGTATCTTTCTATATTTCTGAGATGAGGTATTATGTACACTATTTACATTATTCGGACTATTGTCCTCATCTTTGTCGGCATATTTATCACAACGTTTCGGTCCTTCAGTATATGTGTACATTTATGAGATGATCTATTATCTACACTATTTACATTATTCGGACTATTGTCCTCATCGTTGTTGCCATATTTATCACAACGTTTCGGCCCTTCAGTATCTTTCTATATTTCTGAGATGAGGTATTATATACACTATTTACATGATTCGGACTATTGTCCTCATCTTTGTTGCCATATTTATCACAACGTTTCGGTCCTTCAGTATATGTGTACATTTATGAGATGATGTATTATTTACACTATTTACATTATTCGGACTATTGTCCTCATCTTTGTCGCCATATTTATTACAACGTTTCGGCCCTTCAGTATCTGTCTATATTTCTGAGATAAGGTATTATGTTCACTATTTACATTATTCGGACTATTGTTCTCATATTCATCACAACGTTACATACTATGTAATCTTGATCCATACATAACCTCCTAAAAATAAAGAATATTATAGCAAATGTAGGCACACATGCTAAATACATTCTAGTCTGATAACGACCCTGAATACAGGTGTAGAACTTCTGCACATCCATATAGATGTATGTGGGGGAGACTAGGCTGTAATTATCATGCAAATTCCCAGTGTCCCAAATAGTTTGTGCGATTTGTGGGAGCCAGGAGACATAAATTTGTGGCTACTGACGCGCCTAATATTGAACTTTGAACCAACCGCAAGTTTTTAATATTTATATTTTAAACATGATTTTGTAATGTTTTATATTCTTACCTGTATTGAGAACTTATTTTTATAAAATGCACATGAAATTTAGCGGAACAGTAAGCATTTTATATGTTAAAATGCGTAGTTATATATTTTTGTGTGTGTCAGTAATACATTCGATATACTGGGTTGTTGCAAAAGTGTCTTGCTTTATCTTTCGCTCAGTTTTAGAAAAATGCTTTTAATTGAATAGAGAATAATAATTCTGCTTTATATTGGTTGAATAAGCAATGCTTATTGAACAATACTTTCTCTTTCGGTTTTATTCTGGGAAAGACGCCGGTGAATCTAGATACCTGAAGCTGTTGGCAATGTCGTAGTTTTCAAACCTTCTGCGGGGAAGGAAAACTTTTAAAAGGGACATTTTGGCTTCTAGGACAAATGAATATATGGAAAACTCGAAAAACTGAAATGGTCAAGAAATAGACAAACTTTTGAGTATTGCCTACGTATATATAAACATATTAAAAAGAAAATCAGTAAGATATATAATCCAGTGTTCTTATTGATATTATTTATTTTTACAAAAGAGTGCTTAATGTAAATTTACAGAGAATAAATATCATAAATTAATTGATTTAAAATATGGTTTCTTCGCTACACAGGAATTACCATGTTTCAAAATCCGAAGCTAAAAACTTTAAATTTAATTATATAATTAAATTAAAAGCATTAGTTCTGTTTCATCTTCAAGAATTTATATATATATATATATATATATATATATATATATATATATATATATATATATATATATATATATATGTCCTAAGCTGAGTTATTTTGTAAACCGGTCAGTTTGTTGTGGATTGGCTTTACGTACAAGGATAACTCCGTCGTCTCTGTACATACCAGTGTTCTCACTAATTTTCGCTTTCATATCCCATATTTTAGGTTATATATTGATATTGATTACCCCCCCATAATCAATTCAACGTATTAAGCGTAAACCATTGTTCCTCTTTTAAACTTTAAACATGCTTTTAATTTTTTTAATGGCTCCCTACATACACCCTATTTTCTGTATTTACACACCAGTATTATATTTCACTTGTGTGTGTATATATATATATATATATATATATATATATATATATATATATATATATATATATATCGTTTTATGTGTCATAAATATTTTAACGATCATTTTTCAGTCGATTTATATCCATATTTCTTTTTCAGGGGTCTCTAGTATCGCTTGTGTTTTGTTTTCTTAATGGTGAGGTAAGTAAAATAATTAAATAAATAAAAATAGGAAAATGTATGCGTACGTATTTTTCTTTCAGAGAAAACAACACATTCAAGTCCTTTATCCCAACATCACATTCAAGATCTTTACACCAAACTGACATTAAATCACGTTATTCTGACATCACATTCAAGTCCTTTATCCCGACATCACATTCAAGACCTTTACTCCAACCTCACATTAAATTACGTTATTCTGACATCACATTCAAGTCATTTACCCAGACATCACATTCAAGACCTTTACACCAACCTCATATTAAATTAATTTATTCTGACATCACATTCAAGACCTTTACTCCAACCTCACATTAAATTACGTTATTCTGACATCACATTCAAGTCATTTACCCAGACATCACATTCAAGACCTTTACACCAACCTCATATTAAATTAATTTATTCTGACATCACATTCAAGTCCTTTATCCCGACATCACATCCAAGACCTTTACTCCAACCTCACATTAAATTACGTTATTCTGACATCACATTCAAGTCATTTACCCAGACATCACATTCAAGACCTTTACTCCAACATCACATTAAATTAAGTTATTTTGATATCCCATTCAAGTCCAATTTTTATTCCGACATCACATTCAATTACCTTCAAGTCCTTCATCCAACCTCAAACCTTTAAACCTTACGTTATTCTGACATCACATTGACATCACATTCCTTTATCCAACCTCACATTAAATTACGTTATTTTGACGATATCACATCCAAGTCTTTTCCTTTCCAACCTCACATTAAATTACGTTATTCTGACATCACATCAAGTCCTTTATCCAGACATCACATTCAAGTCCTTTACTCATTCCTCACATTAAATTACATTATTCTGACATCACATTGAAAGTCTTTTATCCGACATCACATTCAAGACCTTTACTCCAACCTCACATTAAATTATTCGTTATTCTGACATCGCATTCAAGACCTTTTACACAACCTCATATTTTATCCCTGACATCACATTCAAACCTTTTTCACATTCAAGAACATCACATTAAATTACGTTATTATTGACATCACATTCAAGTCCTTCATCCCGACATCACATTTCAAACCTTTACTGCAACCTCACATTAAATTAAGTTATTTTGACATCACATTCAAGTCCTTTATTCCGACATCACATTCAGGACCTTTACTCCAACCTCACATTAAATTACGTTATTTTGACATCATATTGAAGTCCTCTGTCCCGACATCACATTCAAGACCATTACTCCAACCTCACATTAAATTACGTTATTCTGACATCACATTCAAGTCCTTTATCCAGACATCACATTCAAGACCTTTACTCCAACCTCACATTAAATTACGTTATTCTGAGATCACATTCAAGTCTTTTATCCACACATCACATTCAAGACCTTTACACCAACCTGACATTAAATTAATTTATTCTGACATCACATTCAAGTCCAGACATCACATTCAAGACCTTTACACCAACCTCATATTAAACATTATGACATCACATTCAAGTCCTTTATGACATCACTGTCCTGTCCAACCTCACATTAAATTACGTTATTTTGACATTTTCAAGTCCTTTATCCAGACATCACATTCAAGTCGGTTTAAATCACGTTATTCTGACATCACATTCAATTTATCCAGACATCACATTCAAGTCCTTTTCCAACCTCATTAAATCGCCGGTCCTTTATCCCGACATCACAGAAGGGACATTAAATTAGTTATTTGACATCACATTCGTATTTACCCAGACATCACATTCAAGGCCAAAATTAAAGGGGACATCACATTCAAGTCCTTTATCGACATCACATTCAAGACCTTTATTCAGTTTTAATTAAATTCGTTATTCTGACATCACATTCAAGTCCTTTATCCTGACATCACATTCACCATTACACCAACCTCACATTAAATCACGTTATTGCCCTTTATGGACATCAAGTCCAATGACATCACATTCCAACCTCATATTAAATTAATTTATTCTGAATCACATTCAAGTCCTTTATCCCGACATCAATTCAAGACCTTTTATTCCAACCTCACATTAAATTAAACTGTCCTTTACCACAGTTCCTTTACTCCAACCTCACATTAAATGGATTCAAGTCCTTTATCCTGACATCACATTCAAGACCTTACTCCAACACAATTAAAACGTTATTCTGACAACATTCAAGTCATTTACCCAGACAACATTCAAGTTTTACACCAACCTCATATTAAATTAATTTATTGAATTCACAAAAGACGTTATTCTGACATCACATTCAAGTCCTTTATCCAGACACTGAAAAATGGATTCATCCAAAAAAAACAAAAGTAAATTTGACATCACATTCAAGTTTTCAAGACACACCTCACATTTTACGTTATTCTGACATCACATTCAAGTCATTTACCCAGACATCACATTCAAGACCTTTTACACCAAAATTAAATTAATTTGACATCACATTCAAGTCCTTTCTGACATAGAGGATATTCACATTAAATTAATTTTGATAGAAATCTTTAAACATCACATTCAAGTCCTTTGTTCACATTAAATCACGTTATGACATCAGATATCCAGACATGAAAATAAATCACGTTATTCTGACATCACATTCAAGTCCTTTAAGACACCATTCAAGACCTTTTACTCCAACCTCACATTAAATATTTGTATAAACCTTTACACCAACCTCATATTAAATTAATTTATTTGACATCAGAAGTCCTTTATCCCGACATCAACAAGACCTTTATTCCAATCTCAATTAAATCACGTTATTTGACATCACATTCAAGTCCTTTAGACATCACATTAAAACTGAATATTCGGACATCACATTCAAGACCTTACACCAACCTTATTAAATTAATTTATTCTGACATCATTTTCCGATCACATTGTTCACCTCACATTAAATTACGTTATTTTTTCCATTCAAGATCCAGACAAAACTGGGACATTAAATCACGTTATTTATACACATTCAATTTTATCCAGACATATTATATCCTGTTAACCTCACATTAAATTCCATGGTGACATTCAAGTCTTTATTTCACATTCAAGACCTTTATTCCAATTCATTAAATTACGTTATTCTGATTCACATCAAGTCCTTTATCCCGACATCACATTCAAGACTTTTACTCCAAAAATTAAATTACGTTATTCTGACATCACATTAATTTTATCCCGACATAAATGTATCACCTCATTAAATTACGTTATTCCTACATTGATAATCCCAGACATCACATTCAAGACCTTTACACCAACCTCATATTAAATTTTATTTGAATCACATTCAACGTTATCCTGACATCATTCAAGACCAATTCCAATCTCACATTAAATCACGTTATTCTGACATCACATTCAAGTCCTTTTTCTCCAACCTCACATCACGTTATTTTCCAAGTCATTTACCCAGGGTTTGTATGGAATCACATTCAAGTCCTTTTTATTCCAAAGACCTTTTTATTCCAATCTCACATTAAATCACGTTATTCTGACATCACAGTCCTTTATGACATCACATTCAAGAAACACATTAAATCACGTTATTCTGACATCACATTCAAGTCCTTTATCCCGACATCACATTCAAGACCTTTACTCAAACCTCACATTAAATCACGTTATAGTACCCGACATCACATTCAAGACCTTTACTCCAACCTCACATTAAATCACGTTATTCTGACATCACATTCAAGTCATTTACCCAGACATCACATTCAAGACCTTTACACCAACCTCATATTAAATTAATTTATTCTGACATCACATTCAAGTCCTTTATCCCGACATCACATTCAAGACCTTTACTCCAACCTCACATTAAATCACGTTATTCTGACATCACATTCAAGTCATTTACCCAGACATCACATTCAGGACATTTGCTCCAACCTCACATTAAATCACGTTATTCTGACATCACATTCAAGTCATTTACCCAGACATCACATTCAAGACCTTTACTCCAACATCACATTAAATTAAGTTATTTTGATATCCCATTCCAGTCCTTTATTCCGACATCACATTCAATACCTTCACTCCAACCTCACACTAACTTACGTTATTCTGACATCACATTGAATTCCTTTATCCCGATATCACATCCAAGTCTTTTACTCCAACCTCACATTAAATTACGTTATTCTGACATCACATTCAAGTCCTTTATCCAGACATCATATTCAAGACCTTTACTCATTCCTCACATTAAATTACATTATTCTGACATCACATTGAAATCTTTTATCACGACATCACATTCAAGACCTTTACTCCAACCTCACATTAAATTACGTTATTCTGACATCGCATTCAAGTCTTTTATCCCGACAATTTATTCAAACCTTTACTCGAACATCACATTAAATTACCTTATTCTGACATCACATTCAAGTCCTTTATCCCGACATCACATTCAAGACCTTTATTCCAATCTCACATTAAATCACGTTATTCTGACATCACATTCAAGTCCTTTATCCCGACATCACATTCAAGACCTTTACTCCAACCTCACATTAAATTACGTTATTCTGACATCACATTCAAGTCCTTTATCCAGACATCACATTCAAGTCCTTTACTCCAACCTCACATTAAATTACGTTATTCTGACATCACATTCAAGTCCTTTATCCCGACATCACATTCAAGTCCTTTACTCCAACCTCACATTAAATTACGTTATTCTGACATCACATTCAAGTCTTTTATCCACACATCACATTCAAGACCTTTACACCAACCTGACATTAAATTAATTTATTCTGACATCACATTCATGTCCTTCATAGGACATCACATTCAAACCTTTACTGCAACCTCACATTAAATTAAGTTATTTTGACATCACATTCAAGTCCTTTATTGACATCACATCAGGACGTTTATCCAACCTCACATTGCGTTATTTTGACATCATATTGAAGTCCTCTGTCCCGACATCACATTCAAG